ATTTATTCCTGTGAGGGTAGTGAGACACTGGCACAGGTTGCCCAGGGAAGCAGTGGCTGCCCCAACCCTGGCAGTGTTCAAGGCCAGGCTGGATGAGGCCTTGAGCATCCTGGTCTGGTGAGGAGGTGTCTCTGCCCATGGCAGGAGGTAGGGACTACATGATCTGTAAGGTACATTCCAACCCCTAAAATTCTATGATTCTATAAGCACTACTTCCCAAGATAAATGACCTTTAAGTTAGATGACACAAAGAACACCACTGAAGAAAAGTTCTATTTCTTTACAAAGGCAATATACAACCATACAAGACCCCTGGCACCTGTACAGCTAACCTTGTTCTTGGAAGAGTTACATTCATACAATAATTCTGTCCTGCTAAAAACCAGGTTGTTCCTAACTGGGGCTATTCAGAACACAGCTTTCAACATCACGAAGGCTGTAACTTTATAGGGAGTTGGAGCAGTCTGCAGTACCGTGAGCAGTGCATTCCTGAAACTCTCCTATACCAGTGTAATGTCAACAGAAAAGGCTGAGTGGTGATGTAATGTCTGAGGGCATGCCAGACTCAAGACACTTTTTGTTTGATTCACAGGGTACAAGTTACTTCCCCAGCCCTGCCTTTTTTAAAGCAGGCAAAGTAGATTTTACTACAAGCATATAGAGCCTCACATTATCTACACAGGGAAGAAAGGAATGAGCTGATAGCATTCATCATTGTGACGCAGGCAACAATTCTGCAGCAAGAAAAGTTTTTGGTCTATTTTAGTTTGGAGGGTGGTTGTGTTTTGTGGGTTTTTTTCTGATTTTTTTTTTTTGCTGCTGCCCATTACTATGGCCTCAGGCTCCTACATGCGAAATTGCATTTGAGTACCTGAAGTGCTTCACTACTTTCTGTATCCTCAGATACAAGAAGGTATTTTCTATACGAGTCTAACAACTAAAAATCCACAGTATTTAATCAACATTTCTCAAATTCTGATGCTGACAAGAAGAATGGAAACTCCCTCAATATCTTGACACACCTTGAGGTTGTCACACATTTTATTATTTGTACATAATCACTTGCACACACTAGGGTAAAGTCAGTGGGACTTAGGTGCATAAACAAACTGCTTTTAAAATTCTGGACCTGGATGCCCATACCAGAAGGACAGATAAATTATGGTCTCACACAAATCTCTACAGCCAGCAAAGGCAGTGGGAAGCTGAGAGTCATTCTTGATCCATCTAGCCTACCTTACCCTTCCTCTTTTCCACTGCTGCATGACTCAAGTGAGCTCCTGGATAACATAAGTGCCATACAATTCTGAACACATTTATCTACCAACATTAGAGCTCTACTTCAAAGAATAGAAAAAATTGGTGGCATGTGAATGAGGTCATTACACTCATGATACAGACAAAAGACAGTTCTGAGAGGAGCAAAGGAAGGCAAATAAAACACCATCTAAACAATGCCTCTCAAGCTTTGGTAGCTGCAACAAGTAAGACAAGTCTGAATGTGGCATTTCTAGGAAAAATGCTCATATATGCTGTTCACTGATTTTCAAATCAGGTTCACAAGGACTAGGACGATAAAGCTTTTTGGGGAAAACAATAGTTTGCAAGGCCACAAAAAGATACAAAGCTGTTCATCCTCCAAGACCCCAGTCGCTTAGCTTATGCTACAACCCACACACTCAAAATACCTAAAACAACTCAAAACCATATAACCACTTCAGAATGTGTTCTTTTAAACTTAACCCCCTCAAAATTATTTGGGTTAACAAGTGAATCTCTCTGAGTTTTGTACTTTAAAGTATTAATGGTATATCATTCTTTGCTAAGAGGTTTCAATCTACTTGCATCACAATGCTCCAATAAAAGCAAATGGGAGACAGATCACTGCACACCTGTGTAGTTGTGCACACTGCAAGCCTGAATAGTTTTTAACACCTGCTGGTAGCAGGTGTTCCCTCTAGGGGGACAGGTCAGGAGTTCTGGCTTCAAGTCCTGTTGAGTACCTGTCACAATCTGTGAGCACTAGAAAGCCAGTACTGAGAGAAGATTGGTATAGAGACTAACTCCCATCAACAGACAAACCAATTAAACTGTTCCCCAACTAGGAGTCTGTGGTTTATCTGTGCGAAGCAATTCTATTAATTTAACACACATACCTTGTCAAAGTAAGAACAACACATCTGATCATTATGGGAACTCGAGTGTTTGATTTGTTAGGATATTAGGGTGATCTCCCAAGATGACTCTTAAGTTGTATGCTTGCAGCTCAGAAACTGCTCATTTCTGCTGTAGAATCCAAGAGCTCCATGTGGAACATGGTGTTATTTACCTTTTCTGTAGATTTCCACCACTGTGCTAAATTTCCAAAGGCTAACCCAAAACTAACAGTTACAGTTTTTTAAGCTCTGATGGTCATGTTATACAAGAAAACTTCTTGTGAGTAAACCATTTTCTATGTACAAACCTCAAAAAAAGACTAGCAAAGGTTGCAGTTCTGAGGAGCTGAGTCTCACACAGCTGGAAGGACATCTCTCCACCTCTCACCCATCCTCTGATCCCTTCCTTATATCACAGTCAAATGCTTGTCAGAGCTCTTTGAGTGTCAATACAAGTCATTAACCCAGAAAGAGAAGTAAATGCTGCTGCCCAGTTAGAAGCTGAATCAGTGAAAGATCTTACATCACCTGTGCTGGTTAAGAAAGGCCTCCCCCTTTCAGGGGTTCACCCTTTTTCCAATGCAACTGCATTCTAAGCATTGATGAGTTAAGGATATCCCTTTCTTGTTAGAGTTAAAATATAGAATAGAAATGCATCTTTATGAGATGAACTACCTGTGCAGACAGCACATAATAGCTTTTGACCACCAGCGAGTCACATTTTAAAATAACTAGGCTCTATATGAAGGGTTAAAACCTAAGTATTTAAGACAGCCTAAAAGATAAAAAAAAAATAAATCAAGTCAGCAGTTTAATAAAGATGGAAAAAAATTGAAGACAGAGAAAAAATAGAGGTACAATACGAAAAAGTTACTGAAGAAGCCTTTCTACCACAAGTGCTGCTCACAATCTTATCCTCAGATCACTTCAAATGAGCCTTAGCCCACACAAAGTTTTGATCCTATGAGGAAATACAAGCAAGGAGCTCTACGAAACTTACTTTGCAATGAGTCTCAAATAAAAGAATTCTTTATTAAGGCAAAGGACAGCAATATCAAAAGGGTGAGGGGACTGGAACTAGATTAAATTGGATACAGATTTATTTCTTCTTTTGCTGAATTCTGATTTGCCTGGGTGAAGACTTGCATACATCGTGCAAAAGCATATTAGTTGCATAGAAGGGCAAAACTCAAAAAGCATTGTAATTTTTCATTCACCTTCTCTATCTTACAGTAGGTTCCAACTCTAACCTTTTCTAGATACACCTGGAATTGGAACTGTGTTCTCCATAAAGGCGATCCATAGTGTTAATCATCTCAGTCAGCAAATTTGAACATTACTGGACAGCTCCAGGCATATAGAGTTGAAGCATGTGTTGGCATTTTCTGACTTCATTATATTTTTATCCTTTCAGTTTGAAGATGGGTACGAGCATGTGTCTAAATGTCAAATTCCGCATCTAACATTCCATATTAAACTTCATCTTCCCTATTAGCTTCACATAACTTTATAAGAGAATATAAATGTCTTTTGCTCTGATTTCCAACTCTTCAGCAGCATTATGTGCTGCTACTTGTCTGAACAGAAAGTCTGTCAGACCACAATAGTATCAAGTTTTTAAAAAAATGCAGGCTCCTGAAGTGCTGCATCAATCTGATACAGAACTGACATATTCTTACTGTTAAAACAATACCCTACCCATAAGGAAATGGCTTAGAAAGCTGAGCAACATATACTAAGGCATTTATCTACATCTTCAGTAACAGATGAGAAGCTAAACTTTATGTCAGAATATACACAGGTCTATGCTGAGTTCCAGAGAAGAGTCATCTCTAGGCTGACTAAATAATGGACCATAAATTGTCAGTGGTTTTCTCCTTAAACAATACATGTGTTTTCCCATTCTTTATAGTAAACCACTCGATTTTTTAAAATGGTTTCATTATAGCATTTTCGCACTCCTCCTGTCCAAACCTATGCAAAACTCAGAACTACTGCTCAGCTTAGGTGATGTAAATGCATTTCCTACTTGCAATCTGAAAGAAGCTCAACTCTGCCTCCTGCAGTAGCAGCAATAGAATTAGTGATCAAATTCTGACTGCAGGAAATTTGCTGATGACAGCAAAGAAATTTTCAGATCATGGTTTGATATTACTATGGCTTGAAAACACATTTTTTGTCCTTAAACTGTGTTAGTGGTTATTAAACACAGCTGTCCAGAAACAATATTCAGCTCTAGAATCACAAAAACCTCTGTTAGCCACTTTATGAGTGACGTATTTGTTTGTCATTAGTAGTAGAGACAGAGTCCTGCCTCAGTGACATAATGGACTATTTCTTCCTAACCACCTGCCATCACCACCTACCGAACACTGAGCTACAAAGTCCTGTCCTACCTGATCCAGTAGTACAGCATTAAAAGAGAAACATTATAATTTGAAATAAGAATTGATAACTATAAATCCACAATATTTATGGTTTGTGGGATTGCATCTACTGCACTGAGCAGCAATACTGAAATGCAGGAAGACACTTCCTTATCATATGTAGATGAGTACACAATATTATATTAATTGGACCTAAAAAGCCTCTGCAAATATTTTCTTCTGAATATCATCTTCCAAGTAAGTATTAGCTCACATCAAATAAGAGGCAAAATTTATTATGTACTTTGGTAAAAGTTTTCCTTCTTTTAGAGCCGACATAGTATTCTGACTAAGCCTATTAAGTCCTGCCTCCTGTTTTATTACTTACTCCTGTAAGAGTTTGAGCCACTCTTACATAGGTGTTCCCAAATACTCATGGAAACTCTGGAGACTTAGGAAAGCATTGCTTGCTTATTACCTGGTCACGATCACCTGCAAAACAGCAGCTCTTCATAGTACATGAGTTGAAGTAGCCTTGGTTGTCAAACTGGAAGACAGGCAGGCGGCAGTGGATGTCATAGAGGACTGGGGGCAGGCGCCGCCGCAGTGCCAGCAGCTGAGTCCCGTTACTGTTGAACCTGACACTCATGGCACTCTGAAGGGAGAGGTTTCCACCATAGCGGAGCAGTGAACTGCGAAAAGACAGAGGAAACAAGTGAGATGGGCTGCACACATGAACTGAACTACTTAAAGATAGAACTCCCTCTCTATCCTTACTGAATCATTTCAAGCCCAGTAAACTATAATCTTTAGTTTCTGTTTCAAAGTCCTGAAAGAACTTAATTCAAAACCTGAATGACAACCTATCAAGATGCTACAACTCTAACATCGTCAGAAGAGTAAAGTCAGAGACTGTGAATAGTTTTGTTAATAACAAATACATTTCCTGCATAAGAACAAAGACTGACAGAGCACTTAAACTTCAAAGGATGTCTGCCCTTTGAGACTGACCCTACCAGCCATTTGCCATTAACAGGCCCTACACATTTTCTCCAATTGTAGATGTCTGACTTCTATCTGACTTCTGCTTCTATTTACATCTCTACAGGGCATCAGAGGATGTCTGAACCCTACAATCAGTTCCAGCTGTCTTAAATAAAAAGACATTTCACAAGTTACTGCAAGAAATGCTAAAATAAGTCACTTAGCTACTCTCAAGCTGGCTTCATCTAAAAATACTGCCGAGTAGGCAAGACAATTATGCTACCACATGACAGTATTACCTAAAACTCTCACATGGCTGAATTAGCTAGTTTCCTTGGCCTATATAAGGCTGCATGTTCAGAGCTGGAGTGTTTCTATCTGTCCTTACTGACATATATAAGACAAAAAACAAAGGGGCACCATTTTCCAGGCTCTCTCTTTAAAAAAGTATCAGAAATGGAATTTATTCCATCTAGGATCCTAATGATAATCAGAGCATACCTGAAATGCAACTTGTATTGTACAGACTTTCTGGTTTTTTCAAATACTTCATTCAATCTCTGCACTTGAAATGATTGTGTGTATGGAAAGGGAGACAAAGATGGAAGACATTTCATTCCTAAGCAGTACCAGAGGTCAACCTTTTGTTAACAGGTTTTGAGCAATACCCATCAAATCTTGTTGGGAGTTGTGACTTTTACGCACCTTCTGGACCAAAAAAGGCATGCCAGCACAGAATTTGCAAATTCTAAGGGGAAATTTATTCACAGATTTTACTGCCTAATACTTTCTATTGTAGTCCTCTGACCCAACAGCTATGAAAAATGAGTCAACTCCACATGGATGGGAAGCAACATTCTCTGCAGGTTGAAGCATGCATCAATACATAAGATGCTGTAAAGTTAAAAAACCATTGTTCCTAAGCCAGAGTTAAACAAAACCAAAACAAAATAGAAGACTCCATGTAATGAATACACCAGAAATACACTGCTCTCTCTCTCACACACACACACACTTTGTGAACTGAACAGTCAAAGCCAGAGTGCCACAAAGGCACCAGAAATCACATTTTCAACTAACTAACTAGTAAGATCTTCAAGCTGGGCACCAAAACTTCTGAATACCTGTATCAGCATGAACAGTTCTGGTCTCTCATGATCTCCTCTTCCTAGGCAAAGCTGCTGAGCTTCTCTTAATAGTGTTCAAGGTTTTTAATAAAAACATGAAAGAATCTAATACTAGAAACTCTAACCTTAGAAATGAGGATTTAGAATCCTCCTCATGAGCCCTAATTTCTGTTTATCAAGACCAATAAAGTACTCAGCCAGCTCAAAATACTCAGTCAGGCATTAAAAAACCAAAATGAAACAAAACAAGGAAACCAAAACACACATGACATTTTGCCTCCCCCTCCCCGATAGGTTTGAGTAAGCCAATTTTTTTTCCTATGAAAGTTTCCACTTCCTTAAAAAAAATAACAAACAAATAAATTAAAACTACACAAACCCCCAAAAAAACCCCAAACCAAAACCTCGACACAGAAAAAGAAAAAAAAAAGGCAAGAGAAATAACCCCTGATTTTTTTTTGGCTAAGAAAAGTAATTTTTTCCATAAAAATATGAGTTCTCCAACATGGATAAGATGGTCATAACATATATGAACCAACCAGACTAAGGTGTAGCCACTGCTGCACCAAGATTAAGCCCCTCTCCTCAATCTCCAGTTGTCCTCCGTAATCCAAAGAACAACCCAAAATTTGCTCCTGCCTACAACTGAGGGAGCTTACCAGATGTCCCATCCTTTCAAGTCTTCAAGCAAAGTTTCCATGGTTACTATTATTATGCCCTGCCTGAAATAATTTGAGATTATATTTTATAGTATTAGTAGTGTAACATGAAACTACCTTCCATTCTGCTTACAGATGTTTCATTCAGCTCCCATAGCAGTCGAAGTTATCACAGCAAACACCTCTTGGAGTTGAATTCTGTATTGTGCTGCAGTAATTTCAGTGTGACAAAACTCTAAAAGAATATTTTACTTCACAAATTAAAGGAAGTAAGAGAGACTAGGACTTCAGACATAATGATCATATACACACATAAGAAGTACAGAATTAAAGAGCTGCATCGTTAATGCTCCTCAAAAGATCTACAGCTTTGCCTACCTTGTACCCTCACTCCACACAATTCAGCTACACATGTAATGGAAATACAGTTCCTGCTGCACTTCCTTGAACCTTTGGGTCAAACAAAAACAAAACAAACAAACCCAAAACAAACAAAAACACCCAAACCCCATACTAATAAAAAAAGCAATGGGCTAGTTTGGCCAATAAAGAAAGAAATACTATAAATGAATGACAAATGACCATTGTAATGTAAAAGTGACATGCTGATGACTTTCCCCACTTGCCTCAATTCTGTCCCTGAAAGTCAGACTCTACAGCTCCAAGTGCAGCATTTTGCTGTACTAATCACAAGACAATGGTTTTTTGTTTTCCCCACCCTGTTGTGTCTTGACTGCTTTCTCTCTGCCTCTCCGAAAGGGCTTGTTAAAATAACTGCACAGTGTTTTCCTATAACGAGCCATGAAAAGAAGTAGAAGGTAGTCAAGTGGGGATGAGGAGAACAAATTGACACCAAACCCCACCCCGAAACATCCATTTCCTGACCCAAACAGAGGAAAAATATTTGCTCTCTCTGCCTTAGACAGAACATTTGAGATGTATGTTCAGAAATAAGTGGGCAGTGGGTGTGTAGAGACTGCAGCTCATGGCTCTACCTTGATGGAAAAACTATGAACCTAGTTCACAAATAGAGGACACAGAGGATTTGAGAATCTTTCTTCCCCTGCCTCCTACTGCAGGCAGGACACATGGCAGCAGTATTGAGAACTGAAGAATCCTAAGACTTCAGTATCTTCCACCATAAAATTTAGTTGATTAGAGAATAACTGTGCCTGCTTTAAGAAAAAAATAATTGCCTGAGATGCATTCTAGAGTCTCCATCAAAATTTCAGGAAAAAAGCAGTCATCTCCAAGAAAGAAGCTGAGGAAAGTTACTTGTTATAGTATTAAATTGGTACTAATACTCATTATTACTAGGGAGGATGTCTGAATCAAGAAGCTCTAAAAATCTTCAGACTAATGAGAATCAAAGCTTTTACTGTTTCTTTTTTGTGGGGTGGGGAGGGAAGAGAATTGAGAGTGCTGTGTTTAGGCATGTTCAGTGCTCAAATGACTATCTCCACTTTCCCGATTGCACCATGGTGCTGCTCTGTACCTTTAGTCACTGCTACTTGTGGATTTTTTCACACAGGATTATGTGGGGCACCACAGACATGTTTGGATATGTTGCTCATGTTAGAACTGCCACTTCTGCCTGCTCCTTATTGTATGCTCCAGCAAATGAATTTCAGAAGCAACACCTTCGTGCAGTTACTAAAAAGTCTACTGATGCATCACTGAAAGTAATACTCCCCTCTTGAAGACACAGACCATGACAGATAGTGAGAAATCTGAAGGCAATCCTAAAAAGACACCTCTGAACAAGATGGGAGCCCTTTCTGCCAGAGGCATTATCTTTATGAATCCAGAGCCAGACTAGTCAGATTTACTCTGCTTCCAAATTTGGCTCGCCCAAATAGCTGTGGAATGCTGATGCTGCCTACCAGCTCTGGAAGCAATATAGACAGAGACATGCACTTCTGAGTTTTTAAAAAAGTCATATTTTATGATTAAGAGAAATATTTAGTCCACAGATGGAACATTACAATCCAAACACACATGCTGGAGCTGGAGGGAGGCTGAGGAGGGAGAGAATGGACGGCTATATGCAATATGGTCATTTCCGTAGTTGGATACGCTGCACACAGGCAGCAAGTGTAAATACCAGCTCAGCCAAACAATGGAAGGCTTTCAATCCAAGAGCAGCACCACTAATGCAAATAAATCAGTTTCTACTGGCAGCTAGTGGGGTAAGGGAAGAAGTAGCCTCACTGCACTCAGAATTTTCAGGCAGTCTTTACCTGAAGTGCCTGTCTCTCCTCCTCTCTCCTCTTTTCCAAAAAAAGAAGCTGTTCCATCCTTTTTTCGAAGTCAACTGCCTGAGTGGGAACTTAAGCTTAACCCAGGCTACTCAAAAGCTAGTCTGGCACAAGACAGTGGCCATTAAAACTGGGAGAAGATCAGTGTCTTGGCAGAAATAAAATTAACTAAATAGAAGTATTAAATATAACCACTGAATAGTTTCTCTGGATAAACTACAAATCTCATAATGAGCTGCAGTACAGACACTGCCCTTGGGAAATGGGTGTCATTTAAGAGGGAAAAGGAAGGACAGAAAGGAGAAAGTGTTCATATCATAAACAGCAGTGTTGAAACTAACTTAATGAAAGAATGACCTTAAAAGGAAAAAATGAACTGAATGCTCGTAACTAATACACACCATTGCATACAACTGTGTTTGTCAGCAGTTCTGTAACCACAAAATTGAGGAGCTGGAATGAAACTTGGCAAAATAGAGTTTTGGCCCGGAAAACTGCAGAAATGTTTGGAGTTTTATTTGAAAGAAAGTTATTGTGTGTGTGTAAAAAGACACACAATTCATATTTAGTCTGAAGCAAACACTTAAAAAGGGCCAAATTAACCAGTAACAGAAATGCAAGTACAAGATCAATAAACATTCTTTTTTAAAGTGGATTACAAGTC